ATTGAAACATACCATTAGTTAAGCTTTGCAAGCCTGGCACAGTAGCTGATTTGCATGCTACAAAAAGTTTCTAATTTCAATCTTTCTAAAAGAACCTCCACTAAATTACAGTTTCATGACTTAACAGAACACATGTTCAACTCTCCTGAGGTCAAAGGAAAAACCAGCTTTCCGGTAAACTTCTGTTTACTATTTAGATTACAGCATAACATATCCAGCTTCCAATTACAGTCACGTTTCAAATGCAAACTTAAAACCTCAATTGGGAGTTGAACTTCATAGGCAGAATAGTCATTTGCTTCAACTGGAAAATATTTGACTGTGCAGACAAAGCATTAACAATACTTAAAATTCATACTTTTAAAAAAAAATTAAGAAGCTAATTCATATTTCTAGAACTGAACAGTGTTTTAACATCTTGTTATATATTTGTACACTGCCTGGTCCACAAATGCAGGACACAATGAGCTGTACATTTTTAAAAGGCATTAATGACAAAACTAAGCAAGCAAAAAGCAAAGAACGTTTTCATTGTAGATCATCACAGCCCTGTGACTGCAAAACCAAGTGCAATCAAATACTACTAAAAGTGAGTGGAACCACACTTCTGGGAATATATTACTGCTTCTGTAAAATGTTTTTTATATCTGTGTAACAACTGGCTAACCTGGTCTGCCCCATGTAAATATACAGGGTAAACTCATATAAAGTGGTTCTCTCTAACTTAACTGAAAACAATACCAGCATGAATTAAACTACAATCATGGTGACGATAGCAAAGACTGAACAAGAAAGACAATGGGGCTGTTCAGACGCCCAGAAATTACAGTATACCACCTAATGAGTCTCACCTTTTTTCCTGTTTTGTTAAAGAGGAAAAAATGCCGTTTTCTCCAACACAGTTGCTTAGTGCACTGATGTTTCTTGGTCTGAGGCATAATACCCCACTGGACCATTCATCAGGCTAAAAAGGTGCTGAAAAAATTGTTTGTGAATTGTTCCTCTAGTTTATCCAACAGGAACCTAGGTTACTTGGGTTTTATTCAAGGCCTGCCTTTGGAATTTATTTTGTTAGGCATCATATATTTTTGGTAGTGTACATATCCAAGCCATGCCATTTAGAGATGCAAGAACACATAATTTGTCTCAACTTCATTCACTTATCTCCAGTGCTGAATATATCAGCAACAGTTAGCCAGACCAGAGCTTAGGTCTGAAAATACTTCAGACCTCTGACTAAAACACTGAGAAATAGTAGTAATATTTTTCACATTTGAATATATCCTAAACAGACTCATGAAGAACAAGATTAATGTTCTGAAATTAAATGATAAAAACAAGCACATTGTAGCAGATGCCTTACTAAAACTGTTTGGGTATAACAAAGCCATCACCATTAAAACAAACACAGTTATGCCAATGCTGTATAATCATGAAAATAACTATATGATCTCGTTCTTGTTAAATAACTTAGTCATTCATATCACATATACACCTTTTTCCTCAAAATTAGTGATTGAAAATTAGGGAAACTGTTTTACACAAGGAGCTAATTCTGGACAGTTTGTTTAAAAAAACTAAGGACTAAGAGGTCCTTTTTTCCTTTGTTTTGAGAAGGCAGAACAAGATGTGCATCTTGTTTAGGGTTGTGTGGTATGTGAATGAATGCAGTATTTTTCATGTCCTGTCCTCTTGCTATATTTTTCCGGTTCTATAAAACCAAACCAGTAAGATACTATACTGATGCATCTACAAATAAAAAAAGGAATGCCAAAAAAGAGAGAAAAAAGACTCCTCAAAACAAAAAACAAAACAACACAAAGAAACCTATGCTTCAACACAGGGTGCTGTAGAGTCTCTGCTAGTCTGCAAATGGCTACCCACTATCTCAAAAATACTAAATTAGTAAAATGAAAGCGACCTCAACATAAAAAAACCACTATAGGGTGTTTCACCAACTACCTTGATTTTAAATAATATAAATGCATACCATGTCACTTTCTCAACATTATTATCAACCAACTTTTTAAAAACACGTAAAACGTTAACTCAAGATATGAAAAGTCCAGTATTAAAGATCTGAAAATACTCTTTTTTTTTTAAAAAAAGCAACAGAAATGCTACATTCTTGCATGTGATTGCTCACTCCCCAAGCTGGCTTGGTGTGCGAGTTCAATAACAGTAATACGCTTGATGCATTAAAAAAAGCAGTATCAAGAGCTGTCCAGTGGTGATCCTTCTAACTAGTTAAATATTGTTCAACTGAAGAAGTCCAGTTAGAGCTAAAAGACAGATGGCTGCTGTCAGGCATGCAGATCACAAAGTTGAAATAGGGAAGTGAGTAATCAAATATGGCATTTGTGTATTCTTTAGACCACTGGTTCCCAATCTTTTAGATTCAAGGCACCACTAGTACACCCAAGGCACTGCTAGATGGAGTCAAGGTGCTCCTCAGAAAATGCCAGCTCTTAATTTTCACACTTATATTGATGACAGAAAAATAATAAGGCAGTTTCTCTGCTGCAAAGAATTTAGAAAGACCACAAATATGGATTTCTATTTAAAATCTCTAAGTTTACTCTGTGAATCGTGTTTCAGTGCTAACGCTGTATGGCACCCATGAAAGGATCTCAAGGCAGCCCAGGGCACCATGGTAGCATGGAAGAGATTCCCTGATTTAGAGGCTGGGTGATGTAATATAACTGTTGCTATAAGCAATTTAAAGAACATGCCTGGCATTCTCCCTACAACACAGTAAAGATAGCTTAATATTATATCCTTCAATAAAAGTGTGATTATTAAATATTTATGAAGTTTAACCTTGCAGTCCATAAACTTCTTTTTCCAGTTTTAATCATTAACTGGACTAATTACCATGGGTTATAACATAGCGACTCCTTTTAGATGCTCTCCTGAAGAAACTAGTTTTTAAACTTTAATTTGACCAAAAAATTGAATATATGAGAACAAACTTTTGGAAGAACAGTACAAAAAGTTTCTTCTTTTTAAAATTCCAATTATAATGGATATTTTTAAAGGAGACATTTCCTGCAAATACTTGCAAAAACTAAACTTTTTTTAAAAAAAAAAAAGTAACAATTTACACTTTTACCTTTGTTTTCTTCATTACCTGGGTTGAAAAACAGAAAAAGCTGACCTTGAATAATAAAGGTGGACTAAAATAAGTTTCATTCACTTCTAATAACCCAAGATGACATAGGTACATACACTTATTATTACAGTATGTACTATAAATTTCAACCTAAGTTCTAAAGGAATGCTGGATTTCTTTTACACTTTGTATATTCCTTAGCTTAATTTATTGAGAGACTCAGTTACTTACAGAAGACTAGAAACTTTGATAATAATGGCTATTACAAGGGGAAGTAATGGCTACATGAATGGGGAACACCACAACACAAAGGTTTCAATTCCTTTCCAATGCATTGCTTGCACTCTTCCAAGTTTAATTTGCTTTTTTCTTTTAAACGCATTTACTTAAATGAATACCATGTTACTCAAAAAACTATCCAAGGGGCCATTTTCTACCCTTGCAATTGTACTAAACTTATTAAGAATCGTTTGATAAGTCACTAAGATTAAGTATTTAATTGAAAAACATTTACTCCAGCTATGAGTAATTCAGCCTTTTGACTCTGATCAAGTGCACAAAAAAGACTTGAGAAAACAAGAAAACACAGTCGAATGTTGTAACCTTCAGTTTTAAAAGCAGTGAAACCACCACCATCATCTTGAAATGGTGCCGAATACCCTTCACATCTGCCCTTTTTAAAGATTAGCGTTGTAGGTTTAAACAAAACACATTAGATACAGTGGGCTACTTCATAAATAACACTGATATGGTAAATCAGCAAGAGAGATTCTTAGTCCCATTAGTCACAAAGCCTTCATGCACAAATGTTACTATGAAATGAATTCATGTATAAACACACACTCACCATCTCTAAACCCAAACCCTTTAAACACAAATCTGACTAATTAGCATAGGATGCTTAGTACGTCCCCACTTCCGGTTTTTTTCAGTCTTTTCTTGCTAAAGGGGCATCATGAACTTAAAAATCAGGTGTGGGGGGGATTAAAGAGTAGTTGAAAGCAGTATGAAGTACTGGCATAGAAATTCAAGGGCAGATGAAGTATTTGTGGTTTTATCATCAGTTTTAATATGTTGTGAAAAAACACAAAATATAGGGTATCGTTACATATAAGAAATGAGCATATTTCAAGCAAAGTGTAAGTCCTCCTGAGCTGACCTTTAAAGCCAGCTACTTTCCTCTCTTAATACCACCTCAAAAGCAACTTCTCAGATTAATTATGCATTTAAGGTCCAATCTGACAAGCTGGGCAGACCCCTAGGCCCACATACAGCCCTGTTAACCCTGGTACAACTGAATTCAAAGGAAGACCACTGGTTAGCATGAGCTAACCACACTGGGGCCCAAAGTCATCCACATATTTATTTCATTTATTGAGCAAATTAATAACTTATCTGTGTAGACACTTGGGCCCAAGACTCCAAAACAGGGAGTGGGTGACAGGGATGATAAATACTGAAGAATGTGCAGGGGAGGAAAATTTACTTCATTTAACTTGAAAGAAAATTACTAAGCTGATATCTATTAAGACAAGTACCTGTCATCACCCTGATCATGTTGCTTATATGTTACATCCTTTCTTCCACTCCTTTGTCTCTGTATTTTTAGATTAAAAACTTTTTGGCCCATGGAACCACTCCTTCCATTGTTTTCACAGTGTTCTGCCTCTATGGAGCACTTCCACAAACAGGCTACCCAAAGCATAAACTACAATAATAAGAACGTCCACTAATTTCTTGCAGTTACAGCCTTCTGATGGATTACTCCCAAAGCTAGCAAATAAAAAATCTTCTGACAGTAACTTTGCAAAATAAATTGATAATTCAAAACCAATCTAATGCCAGTTCCAAATTTTCTGGGAACATAGTTTTCTTAAGAGCTTCTTACCCCTCAGATTTCTGGGATGTATTTGTTTTGTCCTAGGCATTTTCCTCTAGTTTCATAGACCACCTTCTCCTCTCAGAAATGTGAAGCAAGCAGTACCATAAATCTTCTCAGGAGATCAATTAATCCATGTGCTAAAATAAATAAAAAAAAATTTTAAGATAAAAATTGAAACATATAGTGTTAATATGGAAATACTCATCCCAACATTTTTAAACCTAAACTGTTACACAAAGTAATCATGTATAATTAAATCTATTCCACTTTTCTTTCAGTCCCCCAAACACCTTATTTTAATCCTTGTAGATAAGAAAAATAAGAAACAAGTTGTGCTCAAGGTTACTCAGGATGTCACTGCCACGCTGAGAAATGACAATTCTCCCATTTATCAGTTCCTTCAAAACATCACATCCTGTGTTGTACTTGTCACTTGCATCTGTCTCCTTCTTCCCACCTGCCTCCCCCTCCAAAAAGCCCTTCACTCAACTCAGTCTCAGGAATGAACTTTCAGTTATGAGGAAGGGAGGTGGTCAGAAAGGGCATAAGCCTACCCTTCACCTCCACAGTTCCCTCAACAGGAGGCTGCAGCAGTCATAAAGTACGGCAGGATTCTGCTGATGGCTTTGCTTCAAACTTTACCATAAGACAAATGAATTGGGTCCCAAACTGGTACTTTCTTGCACACAGGCAGTACTCCTGCTGCAACAGAACTCTGCCTTTTGTGCAACAGTCCATCCACATGCAAGAAACTACATTATCATTACCAAATACGAACAACTAATGTGAACTGGAACCCTTTTAATATCCTGCAAGGTTTTCCATACATTTAAAACGACATGGTTCAGTTGAGTGCCAAGATCCAGATTTTCTTTCCAAGTTTCGTTAAGAGAAAAAAAAGAAACTGAAGACTAGAGAAACACTCTCACAGTTTAATGATATGAATGTGTTTGGATTCTTACAAATCCCTGGGCTGTTTACAAATAGTATCCTGCAGTCTCTTGGGAACTGAAAAGTGAAACTGACTCCTATAAGCCCAATCTTCGTGCTCAAAAGAATTAAAAACTACACAAGTGGTGAGTTAATATTAAAACCAGGCTTAACCTAAGATACAAGGAGTAAATACAGATAAGCATGACTTGTCAGCTTCCCTTTAATTCGAGTAATTAGAAAGAGAGCTGCTCCAAATGAAAAGGGGAAATCAAGCATATGCAGGCACGTAGAATCTTTATCATTCAAGGTATTACAAATAATGCATTTGATTTCCAATTGATTTTTTAAGGACATCATCAATTTGCATTACTGCAAATCAATAAACCAGTTTACAAGAGTTTGTTACCCACACCTGTCCCTGCAGCCTACAAGTTGCAGTACATTTACAATGCCAGGTTGCTATTCCTTTTAAAAGGTTCCTCATGCTTTTCTTTGTGTGAAGGAAAGAACTGGCTATAGAAACAAAAACTGGATTGTACTGTCCCATTTCCTAAGAGTTATGATAATAAAGTACCAGATAAAAACAACTACATCCAGTAGTGTGATTTTGGGGGGTGATCACGCTTCAGAAAGCTAAGCGACATGGAACGCAGTATCAGCAGCCAAAAATGTCAGCCTTCAGTAAGGGGTGCTGGTGCCTAAAAGGCTGCAAAGAACTTTTTTCCAACTACTTTGCTGGTCTCATAAAAGATATTGTATCTCCTTTTTTTTTTTGGGGGGGGGGGGGCATATCATCTCTTATTGGATCAACTGTATCGCTGGGCCCAGCCACCAGGCATGGAAGAGGAGCACTTAGCCTTAGAAAGCTCCTCTAACCTTATCCCACATATACAGTTAGTCCAATAAAAAGTATCACCTCCCTGCTAAACAGGTTCAAGGCAGGCCAAGGCCCCTGTGCAGCCAACCGTCACTGCTGGGGCCTCAGCGCTGAACCAACCTGCACTTGTGGAGAGATACAAACAACACGGCCCTTCCCTAGGAGCATCCCCTCTACAGACTAAGAGGTGGATGAATAACTTTGAACCCAGTTAAGGAGGAGGCTACTGCTTGGCTTTACAGATCTCCATTTGCTAAATAAATAAATATTTATTATTTATTTATTTAGCAAATATTAAATAAATATCTAACCCCCCACCAATATCTAGCCATGGCAGCAGGATCCCTGAACCATCCCAGCGTAAGGCACCCCTGCAAGGAACCCGACTTCTTCTAAGCCCCAAGCCTCCCTCTGGCCCTCTGTTAAGCTGCTGCCAAAGGCTTCATCTGCCCACTTCTGTCACCACCCCCATGGGAGCACCTCCATTGCACAAAAAACAAACAACGAATTTTGAAACACCCTCTTCAAACAGAGGCCGGGATCCCTCGGGCAGGGGGCACCTCTCTGGGGCCAGGGACGCCCCGCGGCTCCTCCCGCGAGGCGGTCGGGACCCGCTCCCCCAGGCCCGTCCCGCCGCCTCCTGCCCCGCCCGCGCCGCGGCCCGGCGGCAGCAGCTGCCCCAGGGGCGTGAGGCCGGGGGGACGTGAGAGGGCTTCTTCCCCCCAAGGGCTCCGGCCCAGAGGGTTGCTGGGCTCGGGCGAGGGATGCGGAGCGGAGCGAAGCTACGAAGG